TCACCTGCGGAAGCCTTGCCGATCGGCTGTGTGGGCTTGAGTTCGCTGCCCATCATGAGACCACGTTAGGTGAAATTTGGGGTTGACCTCGAGTGAGCTACTCAAATTGCGGTTCCTCTACAATGTAATGTTTGCTAGCCAAAGATGCATAGCTCTTGAAATATTGACGAATCGATCGATCCCGCTACATTGCTCAGACTGATTCTCCGAAAGCTTAGGCTTGTGTTGATCATGACATAACTCGACGAGATTGGGCGTGTGTATGAAGGCTTGAACAGTAGTATTCCATGTAGACAGACATTTTTCTATACAGGCAGTGAAGCCACTTTCCACCTTTTGATAAACACGTCAAGAGGAGTATTCGACTGAACTTTCTCCATCTATAGGGAAACAATGTGAAGCAAATCTCCAATCGGGTTATGAAATCTTCCAGTACTTGCCCATCCATATTGCTGTCATACTTTTCCGTTACGCATAGCCTCCTCACAGTATCCATAGACAGTTTGTGAACTGGAAAATCATATCTTTCCACTACATGCGTAGCTACTGTGCTGACATCAGATTGCAGGCCTGCATCTGCCGCCCCAACAGGGGCTGTACCACTGATCACTTCCCCTGCCAGAGGTTACTTTCCCCAGCCTGGACAAAAAACAGACTATCGAATTTCGAAGCAACTTGATCAGAAGCACACAGCTGTGCAAAGGAAACTTGGCATTTCATTGTATCCACAGGCAGTGGATGAGCAGGGAGTAGCTTCATCGAATCATTCATTGATACAAGTCTAGACTCCATCAAATGTCCCCAAAGAAAGACACTAAACTTCAGACTCAAATCCCGTTTGATAGGAAGTTGTATATTGTCTTTCTTCCAGACCTAATTTTTCCCGTTACCGCGTCATCCGCAGTTTTCCCAGGGGAGAAGAAGCTGGGCCGCAAGTGGCTGCACCCTCTAAGCACTCCTAGAATTCAAGAAGAGTTTCACCTAGCTTCCAGGACGCACACACACTCGTTGTGTCCTTTTGTGTGGTGAGAGCACTCTGCACTAGGCGGAATGAGGAACAGACAAGCTATTTAGTGAATCTTACTTCGCTGTTAACTATAACTAGTGACTAGAGTGTGTTTGGCGCAGCTTGGCCCGCTACGTACTCTGTGAGCGGGACAGTGTGTGGTCTAAGCAGTGATTGGTGCAGCAAAGTGATCACAGAATGCTTCTGGAACCTGAGCATTTGAACAACAGCTGTGGGGCCAAGAGGCGAAGGAGCTTTTAGCCGCAACAAGGATTAGAGATCTCTGCAGGGGAAAAACGCGAATAGCAGAAGCCCAAAGGCATCATCCAAACAGTCAAGCACATATCGATGAACCTTCATCATCGGACCAATGCAGCACATCGGTTATTTGAGCTCCATCAGCAATTGCCTAGCAGCCGAATGACTCAAGTGCACAGCTGCATATACTCATAAAAAAGGCGCAAGTCCAAACCCTAGCCAAACGTATGCCAAGGTCCAAAAAGTTCCTTTGTAACACAATTGACAGGCAGGTGCAAGAGCCAATCGGCGAAGGGCTTGAAAGACTCCGAAAGAATTGTAGAAGTGATGGAGAGCATTGCAAGTCCTCTACAGTAGGTAATGAAGCAAACTTCCCACTTAACATGACGAAGTTAAAGGAGAAGGGCAGACATGATGTCAAGCTTGCTTAGAGAAGTACGAATACGCGCGACAGTTTATCAATGAGCATGTACCGGGATCTGAAATATAAGTATAACAGCAACCAAGCACGCTCTAGACATGAAGGGGAATCAACAGACGCGAGGACTATCAGGAGGCTAGGTTAAACAAGGTGCCGAACAAGCCCGGTCCCCTCACCCTCGGCTTGTACACAGAAAATCAATTCGAGGAAGTTACGCGTTAGAGCAACAAATGTTACCCCCATGGCGTCGAAGGACCACCAGACCACGAGAAGAAAAAACTCACCAGCGAAACGACAAAACGCCCCTACCCAGCACGCGACTAGCGGCAACGCCAACGTTAGTTCCGCTCTAACAGTAGCAGACTTTCCGTCAACAGAATAGTACGGCATATTTCGAGCAACATTTGACTGTTACTAATGCTTGTCACTGTCGCGGCAAAGGCTGCGGCACGACAGCAGTTATCCCTCCATCGGTAGCATACAGGCAAACAGTTCGACGCAGCATTACTAGAATACGCTTTTGTACGTGACACATGTGGCGAATATAACCGTCCACATTTAATCTAGCAAAGCTGGCAGCATTGTTTAGAACCAGGTGCGACGTGACCATATAGCTAGTCCAAATGTCGTAGGCTGCCAAGCGTCTCAGGTATGCTTCCAGGTCTACCTTCCTTAGATTCATACTTATTATTAAGGGAAGTGGCGCACGAAGAATCTGCTTATTGCAAACAATGCGAGGTTTCTATGGGGCAGCAATAACTCTATGAGGGCTATAATGAAAGCTCCGCATGTACAGCTAATTACTAACCAAAGCCGACGCAATCCAGTTATTAAGCATCACGTTCTGGGGCTGTCGCCTTTGTTTTCCCAAAAAACAAAAAGAATGGCAGCGCCCATCCTGTTTCAAACAGAAAACCCCTACTTGTGCTTCTTCTTGTCCATCCGCCGTTTGTAGAAGAGCAGCTCTTCACCCTGCAAAGCGTAGCAGGAGACATCAGCTTCACACATTTCACGACTCACACGACCAGCGCATGTACACAGAATTTCGTTGTCTCATGCAACAAACACTTCATCAGCCGGTGATGAGGTCTAGCAGCCGCGTGACGGAGAGAAGCGCCAACAGCGAAGTGCACATCCCCGCAGTATTTGTCCATTGAGGCCAAAAAAAATCAACGATAATGGGATCGAGCACCAATCCCTTAAGGACGTTAGGCTATCACTTCAGTTCACTCGATGTACGCACCCACTGGAAGGTGATGAACTCCCGTACCCCGCGAAGACAAACACCCGCATGACAGACAAAGCAAGCAAACGACCAATACCCCGGCATCATAAAAATATATGCAGAAATATGCGAATGAGCTTTGAAGCACAAAACAAAGGACGCACCTCAAGGATATATCCATCAGCGCGTCCGACCTGGCCAGGTCTGCTGCTGATGCAAGCCAACAACCGACCCGTGTTAAATTGCTCTTCGAGGAGAGGATCTACCTTGGGGAATCCTTGGTTTCTCCGTTGTTCCTGAGCAAATAATGTGTGCTTGGATGGAGTCTTTTCTTCGCACTCTCCCTGAACCTTTTTCCCGAGATCCAGACCGTAGTAAGAACGGAACCTGCAAGCTCAACATAATATACGGCAGTGCCCTTGATGCAAAGGTGCCTCGACCGTTTACCCATATTATGTATTTGACGCAGTCTGGATATAATACAGCAAAAAGAATGCAGTGTGTGCAACGGGCAAAAGAACTTCTGCAAGGAATCAATTTTAAGGAGATACGAAAAACCCCGTGCCATGCAAAATATGCTGCAAAAAAGGAAATAGTCTCATCGGATATTCATAGGACAGATGACGATTCGCACCAGGCCTTGAACGGAGTGGCGTCGACATGAACAATGGAATTCTTTACAAGGGTGTTGGTGCGAACCAGCTCGTTATTGGACGCGTTGTACACAACCTTCAAGACACGAGTCCTGCGAGCCACCTCTGTAAACAGAAGGGAAAAGAGCATAACGGATGAACAACCCTAAAATACAGCCTATATGGCTTAGCCAAAACCTAGCAGGCGTCGGTCCCGCTAACTGTATGAAGGCAATAGCGGACGCCATCTTGAAAACCTACATCACAGAGCTCTGCAAAACTGGTTTCACATCGTTGAAGTAGGGAGAATATACAGGGTGGGGAGAGGCCCGACAGAAATGCTGACGTTTGCATAGCATCAATCTAGCTAAGAAGTAGCAAGCTTCTACGCTCCACAAGCTCAAAAATCCTAGGTACAGTCGAGGCCAACTGGACGCAATCGGCAGAGTTCATCGCATGCACACAGGCAGAAGCAACGACTGGAGCAATATCATCGACAAAGTGATACAAGAGGCTAAGGAAAACAAAATGATCAATAGTAACATGGCAGCATGTTGTTCTGGGTGTTTCTCAGCAGGGAGACCAAAACGAAAGCTCTTACTCTGGCTCGCCCAGCAGTAGTTTCCCGCATCCAGACGAATGGCCCTGTGCTTCAGATTTCCACCTCTGCACCGGACCGGGCGGACTCGCTTGGATCCAAGTTTTGTGACGGCTGCTGGTCTTCCCAATTCGTGCTTACGTTTCTTCTGGTGCACAGGGAAGCGCCCGCCAGTCTTGCGGTGCTTGTGCCTTCGGTCCCGAGATATGCCCATTTTTACTGGTGATCACAAAAGCACCGAAGGAAACATGCAATAAAAATGAGCACAATTCATCCTAAAAGAGAAAGCGAGGGCCCCAATCACATCCCCCCAACACTACAAACTTCGGTGCTGCGGGGAGCCATGCCCCCACAGCCCCAAGAAAATTGCATGCAGCATGTCATTGACATATCTAAGCTCAAAACCAACACACACCTTAGAACCAAAAAACGGCAAGGTTATAGCGTCAAACTCTGTACAAATGCTAGTTAAAATACAGCTGAGAAAGAGAGGTTTGCGATGCCGCTATGCCGACGCACTTTTCATAGCAGGCGATACTACACTAGAACGCAGTCTGCTGCAATGCTTATACTCCACTAAGTACTAGTGCATAATTGACATTTTGGCCTGTCTATTGGTGCGCATTGTCTATTCAGGACTGCCGTTTTCTAATTAGAAAAACACAGTGTTGTCAGTGTACGCGCTGCTAGTTGCTATGTGCAACTAGGTGTGCATGCTCGGGGAACACCCATACTTTTCCTCATTCTTCACGTGGAGGTTTTGAAGGACACTCAAGGGCAGTAGGGAATTCATTTAGGAAAGTTCTCAATAACATTATGTCATGTTTGCACTAAGTCTGGATTGAAGTGTCTCCCTACGGAAGCTTTTGATGAAGCGCTGCAGTTCATAGCACTAAATGCTTTAATGCAGTTGTCCCCGCTAATTCATTGACCGTGGATACAATGGTATGTCACGTTTTTTTCGAACAGTTGTTTTCTCTTGATTAAGCTATTCGGAAATTCAGTGATTTGCATTTCTGTGGCAACGGTGTGCCAAAAAATCAACCTCTGACAATGAAGGTTGACAAAGGCACAGCTCATGTTGGGGAAGCAGAGGCAAACCTAGATTGAGCTCTTATTGCAGTGCCCAGCCTCGCAGAACGTCATAAGCTGTCAGTCGATAAATGTCTGTGGATGCATGGATGGGGCTATGCCTTCGAGAAAAGTATGGGAGCAACAACGGTGGGCAAGAACTGGAAGATTCCATCTGCCGGTTGAAAAGGTAGCACGTCGTCTGCACCCAGATTAAGAGAATTGACTGCTCGTTTTGACATTCTATCGAAAGGAGAAGCACTTGCACGATGACTCCAACACTGTAGAGAAAGCCGTCTGCCTGCAAGAATATCTCCAGTTAAAAGGGCTTTCGCACTTGCCCTCTCCTGTCGATTTATGTCGTGGTCAACGCAAGCGCAAACCTTGATAGATCTGAGCAAACTGAAGCAGGAAAGCTTCTAGCAAATCGGCATTTCGAGAGATGTGCAAAATTGGGGCCGCAAAAGCTTTTATGTAGACGAGAGGCTGCTCTGTTGATGCTTTTTTGTTGGTCAATCCAAGGTGTCAAGTCATGTGGTCTCATGATGGGCAGCGAACTCAAGCCCACACAGCCGATCGGCAAGGCTTCCGCAGGTGG